TTTATAAGCTCCTTCGAGGGTTTCTTTACGGTTCTTTACCTCGTCGCTTTTATTGAACCGTCAGGATAGATAACGTAGAATCTTTAGGGTTGAATTAGGGTTTTCCTATATATACTTGATGTATCCCTTTCGTAAGAGGCATTGAAGGAATACAAGTAAAAACCCTAGTTTACATTATCTCTCTCTCTAGGAGTCCGAGGACGCTCGAAGATCCTCCCCAACCGATACGTGGGACGTATCATTGGTGCTCTCATTGACGTTGTTCACCACTGCCGATCGTACTTCTCCTCCCTACCATGCCGTCCGTCCCTTCCCAGGAGGAAACCCTAGCGGCCATGCATGGGCAGATCCAAAACCTCAAGGGTGATTTGGATGCCAACGTCAAGTTATTGCAGGAGTCTCTCGGCCAGTTGCACAAAGAGTTGGAGGTCCGTATAGAGCTTCAATTTCAGCGCCTCCTCACCATGTTACCCCCAAACCGCAAAGGCCATGGAGACGATGTTTCTGGTTGTCAATACACCGGCGATCAGGGAGGGGGTTTCCGAGATCGTCACACTCCCAAACCCAAGCTCGAGGCCCCTATGTGTGATGGTTCGGAGCCGCTCTGTTGGCTTTATAAAGCCGATGAGTACTTCAAGTTCTACACTACACCACCAGAGGAGCGCCTACGTTGCATTGCACTCATGTTGGAAGGGCCAGCGGCGGATTGGTTCCGCTGGCGGATGAATGCAAATTTGATCGTCGATTATGCCGATTTCGTGGACAAATTTAAGCTCAGGTTTGATCCCATGTATTATGCTGATTATTTTGGCCAGTTAGCTAACCTCCGTCAGACAGGATCTGTTATGGAATATCAAACGGCCTTCGAGAATATTATGCAGCACGTCACGGGTGCCTCGGAAGCTAATCTCCTGTCTCTGTTTCATGCGGGTCTCAAGCCTCACTTACGCCACGAAATTGCCCTGTTAAAACCCACCACACTATCTTCCTCCTTCGCATTGGCTCGGGAACTCGAGGCTAAGCACTCCACGTTACTCCAATCGGTGTCGCCACGCCAACAATCCTGGAATTCATCCCTGCCACCTCGGGTTTTTCCCACATCCACACGCCCGAGTACACAAGAGGACAAGGCTGCCACGCCTACACCAGTCGGCGACGTTGGTGGTTCCGCTCCTGTACGCCGGCTACCTCGGGCCGAGCGTTTGGAACGTCGGGCTAAGGGTCTGTGCTATAATTGTGACCAAAAGTGGTCTAAAACGCATCGATGTGGGCGTTTCTTGCTCTTATGTGACGACGATGACGAGGAGCTTCCCGAGGATTCCGCCACCGACATTCCTCCCATCACGGCTGATATCTGTAGTTTGAACACCATGGACGGTGCACCCGCCCCACGCTCTTTGCGTTTGGCAGGCCGGATTCATCAAACCGATATTCAGGTGCTCATCGACGGCGGAAGCACTCATAACTTCCTCCATCCGGACCTTGTTTCTAAGCTTCAACTTCCGGTTTTTATGGTGACACCATTTCGGGTGTATGTGGGGAATGGCGATTCCTTGCCGTGTGATAAACGTTGTGCGGAGTTACCTCTTTTCCTTCAGGGCACACTCTTTTCGGTTGATGTTTTTGTTCTCCCAATCCACGGGCAAGATGTGGTTCTTGGCGTCCAGTGGTTGCAGCAGCTTGGCCGGGTAACTCATGATTATGCGTCCATGAAGATGGAATTCACTTGGCGTGATAAGTTAGTCTCGCTCCAGGGGGGTATCTCTGCACCGCAGGGGATCAATGCACACACTCTTAATTTGTTGCATGGCCGGCAAGAGTTCGCAGGTTACTTTGAGATTTATTTTTTGGGATCCCAACCTGACACGGCGGTAGACGGAACTCCACTGCCAGCACCAATCCAGCCCCTACTGGCGGAATTTGCACAGGTCTTTGAAGAGCCGCAAGACTTACCCCCGCGACGGAGTGCTGATCATCGGATTTTTCTTCACCCCGGCAGTTCCCCCGTCAACGTCAGGCCCTATCGTTACCCCCACTTTCAGAAAGCGGAGATCGAACGCCAAATCCAAGAAATGTTGGCCAAGGGTTTTATTCAGCCGAGCCGCAGCCCGTTTTCCTCCCCCGTGCTACTTGTTAAAAAAAAGGATGGGTCATATCGCTTTTGCGTGGATTATCGCGCATTAAACGCCGTCACTATCCCGGATCATTTTCCCATTCCAACGGCCGACGAATTGTTTGATGAATTGGGCGGTGCACGTTGTTTTACAAAGCTTGATTTGAGATCCGGGTACCATCAAATACGGATGTGTGACACTGATATTTACAAGACGGCCTTCCGAACACATGAGGGGCACTATGAATTCCTCGTCATGCCGTTCGGTTTGACGAATGCTCCTTCCACTTTTCAAGCCTGCATGAATCGGCTCTTCACTGCGTACTTACGGAAGTTTGTGATTGTGTTCTTCGATGATATTTTAATTTACAGCCCTACCATGGATGCACATGCCGGTCATCTACGCACGGTGTTATCTCTTTTGCAAGTAAACCACTTTTATGTCAAACCTTCCAAATGTATCTTTTGCACTGCTTCGATCTCCTACTTGGGGCATATCATCATGGACGGGGTTCTCCAGGCCGACCCATCCAAGATAGAGGCAATGACGGCTTGGCCGACGCCAACAACCTTAAAGCAACTACGAGGTTTTTTGGGGCTCACAGGTTACTACCGGCGTTTTGTTCGCCATTACTCCCATATTGCTGCCCCCCTCACGGATTTATTGAAGCATGAAGCATTCACATGGTCTCCAGCCGCTGCCAACGCCTTCGACAAACTCAAAACAGCCATGTCCAGTGCCCCAGTCCTACGTCTTCCGGATTTCTCCTTACTATTTGTGATTGAGACGGACGCGTGTGCAACGGGGGTGGGCGCGGTCCTTTTGCAATTAGAACAGCCAATTGCATTTTTCAGCAAGAAGCTCGGCCCTCGGAAGTTGGCCGCATCCACGTATCATAAGGAGTTGTTTGCAATAGTGGAGGCGGTTCAAAAATGGCGCCAATACTTGTTGGGTCGTGAATTTCTCATCCGGACCGACCAACGTAGTTTGAAGGAGCTGCTTCAACAAGTAATCCAAACGCCGGATCAACAATACTATGTCCGGAAGCTATTGGGGTTTCGTTTTAGAATTGAATATAAAACCGGGGCTTCTAATCGTGTGGCAGATGCACTGTCTCGACGGGATGACGGCCTGGGGGAATCCTCGCTGCTGCACTTCGTCTCCTACCCAGTCCCGGCATTGATGGACACTATCCGGCCAGAAAATCAAGCTGCTCCCGACCTACTGGCCTTGCATAATGCCCACGCAGAAGGTAAATTGGCCCCTCCCTACACAGTCCAGGATGGCTTGCTTTATTATCGTCGCCGTCTGTGCATTGGTTCTCAATCGGCGCTGCGCACTTCTTTAATCAAGGAATACCATGACACACCAATGGCCGGACATGGGGGTGTCCACCGCACATTTCAGCGGTTAGCAATGGTTTTCCATTGGCCGGGCATGCGTGGCGACATCGAACGGTATATCCGGGAGTGTGCCGTTTGTCAGACAACGAAGTACTCCACTCTACCGCCGGCCGGGTTATTACAGCCGCTGCCCATCCCATTACAGGTGTGGGACGATATTTCAATGGACTTCATTGTGGGTCTTCCGTCCTCTCGGGGTTTCACGGTTATCCTTGTGGTGGTTGATCGGCTAACCAAGTATACTCATTTGGGGCCGTTGCCGACGGATTTTGACGCACATCGGGTGGCTTTTCTTTTTTGTGATATGGTGGTTAAGCATCACGGCTTCCCGAAGACGATCGTCTCTGACCGTGATCGTGTGTTCACGAGTACCTTTTGGCGGGAGGCGCTTCGGTTGAGTGGCACAACTCTCTGTTTAAGCACCGCCTTCCATCCCCAATCGGACGGTCAGACCGAGGTTGTGAATCGAAGTGTGGAAGATTATTTACGGGCCTTTACTCAAGATAAACCCGCCCGTTGGTCCGTCTTGCTTCCATGGGCAGAATACACATTGAACACTCGCTACCATGAGGGTCTGCGTACGTCGCCATTTCACGCATTGTACGGTAGACCACCGCCTACTTTTGTGCCATATTCAGCTGGGGAGAGTAAGGTTCCCGAGGTTGATGCTCTACTTACGGAGCGGGATTCCCTATTACATCAGTTACGCCGAAATTTGGAGGCTGCCCAAAGGCGGATGAAAGCAGCCGCGGACAAGCATCGTCGGGATTTATCGTTTGAGGTTGGAGATTGGGTCTTACTGCGTTTGGAGCCATACCAACAACACTCCGTTGCTCGGCGCCCGTCGGCCAAGCTTAGCCGTCACTTTTATGGTCCATTTGAGGTTGAGGAGAAGATCGGGCCCGTAGCCTACCGTTTGAAGTTGCCGCCTACAGCTCGCATTCACCCCGTTTTTCACGTCTCACGGCTGCGACGCTTCTATGGGCAGCCCACCGGCCCATCCTACCCACTGCCAACAACATTTATAGATGGGCAGCCGTTCTCCCAGCCAGTCCGTATCCATCAGCGCCGTTTCATCCTCCAGCAGGGTCACACGGTTGAGCAGCTCTTGGTTGAGTGGTCGGACGGCAATCTTGATGATGCTACCTGGAACCCGCGGACGTTATTCGGCGTCGTTTTCCAACTTTGGACCTTGAGGGCAAGGTCCCTGTGCATCCGGGGAGGGATGATACGGACGGAGTTACGGATATGACGGAGGCTAGAGTCCCAGACATAACGTCAGAGGTTCGGGCCGGTCGTACCGAAGAGCAGGAGGAGGCCCGTGAGCGAAGAAGTGATCGACACAAGAAACGTCCGGCTTGGCATAAGGATTATGTTATTAATAAGTGACATTATTTTATATTATTACTGTATCGTAGATTTTGTTAGGTGAGCGTTTTATAAGCTCCTTCGAGGGTTTCTTTACG